ACAGACGTGGGTGACAACGACATTTCAATGTAGGTGTATCAAGACATATCTAAACTGATTTATCTATCAAAAGTTTGTTTTAAAACATTTTAACAAACAGAAAACTAAACCATGCCGCAAGACTTGTTTGTCACATGACTTGATTGATGGAGAATCCATATACAGCTTGTATTTGTCAGTAGTCGCTGTCTATTTACCATAAATATCAAAGCCTAAGTAAATTATTGGATTATTATCTGCCAACTTCGTTTTTTTCACCGTTTAATCACAGAGTCTACTGGATGTTCAAGTCATTTAATCACTGAGTCTACTGGATGTTCAAGTCTCTCAGTGTTCTCACAACTATAGCCATCAGATCAACACATAAAGTACTTCGTTTGTCACTAGTTAGTGACAACCTTGCATAGGTGTTTATCACGGAATCTCATTTTTCTAGTAAGATGGTAGAGAGAGAGAGAGAGAGAGAGATATATAGATGGGGTTTAATGTTCACATGACACAAACTAGGTCATTTTGGGACACACATAATATAGTTCAATTTTATTTCAATAATTTGCTTGTTCGTAGGCTCTTTAGCAGTGGGAGGAAAAAGGAGGACCCAGAGAATACCACGAGGCTGGACAGGCGACCCTACTTCTTGTCACGTGCAACCGGGGAATCGAAACCATGTTTATTTCGGAAGAAAAAATAAATAAAATGGGCAATTTTCAATTTTGTTTTATTTTTGTCAATTTCAACAGAATTGGTCTGGCCTTAGCAAGCTCACAAATTTCTAGCTTACAATTCCCACATGCATTTTTCTCCAAACACGTGTTTGAGGATTTACGTAATTTTTATGCTGTTTTTATTTAATACGATGGTTGGTTGGATTTGAAGAGTAGCACTACATATTCGAAGATCATAATAATCTTGTTTACACTGTGTGTGACAGTAATAGAGGTAACATGGCTTTGTTCTTGAAAATTCTTATGACACGCGGCCAATACTTGGTTGTTTTAATAATAGATCACTTCACGTCATTGATAAGATTCCAACCTATCAATTAACTTTTAATGTTCTACTACCAACACTACAGCGTGCCATGAGGGATATGTTGCTCGAACAGTGGCACTATGGCCTACTGTTATATCGAATTCGAAATACAAAGGGTTCTTTTATGTGCATGCCAATGTATACACGAGACCTCAGTTTTTTGTCCCATCCACACAACTAGACAGCTGTCCTTGTCACGCCATCCTTCCTGCACCACTGACAGGGGGAAACCATGCCGTAAAATCCCGATGAAGTTTCTCAACCAACACAGGGAGCAAACCGGCGACCTCAAGGCTAGCGAGCCAGCGTCTTAACCACTAAGCCATCGTGGTTCGCTACTCAGTATAATCTTTTGACGACTATATATACAACTCTGTAACACCAATTAGGAGATTACATGGTTTCTGTACGTGTGCATTATTCTGTACTGGCTGTAGAATTTTATAGTTACATAGCAGGGGTTGATCGTAGCCATGTTATAGAGAATATGGTTTTAAAAGATCTAGTTTCAGTCATTTTCCGTAGCCCCTCGGTCTTGACCGGCATATACGGCCGATATGGACCCCATGCTCAACACCTGATTATATGTTCACCCATACAATGATTAGTATAAATGAAAAACTAAATATGTTTTAAAAGTGTATTTGTCAATAGCTTACATAGTACTGATAAAACATTTAGGACAATATGTTGTGTTGTATAATCGGAGGGGGGGGGGGTCTGATTACCCAGCTGTATGTGACGTGACAAGGAGTAGGTTCGGCTGTCCAACCTCGTAGGTTTTCTCCAGGTCCTCTGGTTTCCTCCCACTGCTAAAACACCCCTACATGCAAGCGAATTATTGACATCAAATTGAACCATGTGTTAGTCCTGAAATGACCTGTTTTGTGTTGAGTGGACGTTAAACCCCATTTCTCTCTCTCTCCAAAGGTCAGATATACGCTTCTTATAGGAAAGCAGTAAAATACATTAATAAGTGATCTGTTGCTGTTAAATTTATAATTGACAAAGTTAACTAATGCTAGGTTTTCACTATTATAACAAGGTCTTTCTTTAAATCTTGCTGGAAGTAAATTATTTATTTTTAGTCATCAGTCAGAGGAGAATAAAAAAAACAGAAACAATGCCAATTACAATTTTGGGTTGAAGAAAAAATCAACCATGATCAATATTCATTAAATGAGACGTCAAAGAATTCATTAAGTAAGACTTCAGTTCTTTCAATTACTCTACCCAAATAACTTTAGACTTCCTACAAGGACGACTCAATCTTCATACCAAAAGACAGAATAAGACATATTGCATATTGTACGTGACGTCGCACATACAGACTATTTAAAAATGTTTTGGTATTCTACAGAAGTACGAAATTAAAAAAAATTTGCTTGGCCAGCAGAATTAGGTCTTGTCAATAATATTTTAATGAAAAGACAAAATGGGGTTTTAACGTCCCCTCGACACAAACTACGTCATTTTGGGACTAACATATGCTTTAATTTTATTTCAATTATTTACTTGTGCGTAGGGGTCCTTAGCAGTTGGAGGAAACTGGAGGACTCGGAGAAATCACAGGAGGTTGGACAGGCAACCCAACTTCTTGTCACGTTGTCAATGAGTGTTGAGCAGCGGATCGGATTCTCTGATTCAAATCCAGTGAAAATCTGACACATAAGATGGCATTGAGAGTTGGTTATGGTCTGGATAAATAAGTTAATTAATGTCTAATTAATAGTTTATATAACATTTCAAGCCTATATAAAGACCTGCAATAGGCAGATTATGTTTAACAATGAACTGAAATGGGTTTTAATGTCCTACTATTCTGCTTCGACTGGGCTAATGAAGACGGGCATACGCCATACAGTGTGCTATGAGGGAAATTTTGCAAGGGGAAACCACGTCGGAAAATCCCAATGAACTTTCTCAGCTAATGTAGTGATCAAACATGTGACCTCTAAGCTAGCAAGCCAGCGTTTACCCACTGAGCCACCGTGGCTCCTGTACGTTTAACACGAGAGAGAGAGAAATGGGGTTTAACGTCCACTCAACACAAACTAGGTCATTTCGGGATTAACATATTGTTCATTTTATTTCAAAAATTCGCTTGCGCGTAGGGGTCTTTAGCAGTGGGAGGAAACCGGAGGACCTGGAGAAAACCCACGAGGTTGGACAGGCGACCCTACTCCTTGCCACCTACAACCGGGGATTCGAAACCACGCCAGTCGACTCAATGACAGACTTTATGATACAGCGCGCGCACGCTAACCATTCAGCCATCCAACCCTGTACGTTTAACACGGGCCACATGATCCCTTATTGTATGTTTCAGTAGAAACAAGCTCTAGATATTCTACTTGATGTTACCACACAAATTACCAAAACCTGGGCCCTGTTTCTCAAAATCTTAACTAAAGATAAAATCCAGATTTTAATAGATACTTCAATTTTGATTGTCTAAGCACTAAAATCAATCTAATATTATCCAATCAAATTACTAAAATTTGGATTTTATCTATTTATCTTAGTTAAAATTTCGTGAAACGGGCCCCTGATCATTAGACCAGAATATATTGAAAAATAATAATAGACCAACCTAGAAACTACATTTCCTACCAAAAACTTTGGAAGAACATTGATGCACAGCCAAGTTATATCCTGCCTCAAAAAAAAAAAATTCACAAACCTTTACAGTCAACGTATAAGGTCTACACCTCACAGCACAGGCTGATTTGTTGGACAAAAATCAGAAACATTAGAAGTCCTCTCAGATTTGACACATTAGACCGCCAAACTCCTTTCAATAGATTAACATGTACTATTTTGTTTAAAATGATGTGTCAGCAACAATTATTCATCATTCTCAATGTCTCTCTTCTAATTGAAGATATTTAAATCTCACATCAATAATACGGCGACAGTGTTCAAAGACACAGATTGACAGACGTATTACCAATTGCAGCATAAATATTGCTTAGCCAGCCGTTATCAATGTATTTTATTGTAATAAATTGATCAATGTATTTTATATACCGATTGGGGAATTGTCATACTAGTGATAAATCAATGTAACCCATTATCAACCTGCCCTGCTCAACATATAAACAGCACACATATGTTATCGGATTTCAATAGCAACAGTTCTTATACCGTTAAGGATAACCAAGTTTAAAACATGATTGTAATCAACATCCTGCACTATTGACTCAGTTTAGAAGCTATAGTGAGAGATAAATGGGGTTTAATGTCCACTCGACACAAAGTAGGCCATTTCGGGATTAACATATGGTTTAATTTTATTTCAATAATTCGCTTGCGTGTAGGGGTCTTTAGCAGTGGGAAGAAACTGGAGGACCAAGAGAAAACCCACAAGGTTGGACAGGCGACCCTACTCATTGTCACATACAAACGGGGAATTGAAACCACGCCACTTGACCCAATGACAGACCTTGCGATACAACGTGCACACACTAACCATTCGGCCATCCAACCCCCTGATTATTTCTGTACTGTTGGATGGCCGAATGGTTAGCATGTGCACGCTGTATCATACGGTCTGTCATTGAGTCAACTGGTGGGGTTTCAATTCCCCGGTTGAACGTGACAATGAGTAGGGTCGCCTGTCGAACCTCATGGGTTTTCTCCGGTCCCTCCGGTTTCCTTCCACTGCTAAAGACCCCTACGCGCAAGCGAATTATTGAAATAAAATTGAACCATGTGTTAGTCCCGAAATAACCTAGTTTGTGTTGAGTGGATGTTAATCTCTCTCTCTCTCTGTCTGTCTGTCTCTCTTAATGAAAGTTGGGCTGGATAAATTATTTTGAAAGGATCTGTGCAGATTGGATGTGTCCGAAACAGGCAACAAGATATTCCCAGTATCGTATGCCAACCACAGTCCTAGACAATAATCAGAGGAACGAACACCTTTGATTAGTGTACTGTAATACACCATTTTGATTCTGATAGATTACCTTCTTTTTTGAGACACTTGAATGCCGCCCGTCTGTTAGTAAATAATCCAAGATGGTGGTGTTCAGCAGAAACACTTTCTCTCTTGTTCTTCTCACCTGCAGATAGAAAATAAAATAAATTAATTTAAATGGAGTTTAACGTCCTACTATTCTGCTACGACTGGGCTAATGAAGACAGGTAAGACAGGTATATGCCATACAGTGTACTATGAGGGAAATTTGGCTCGGACAGCGGCAATATGGTCTACTCTTATATCAATTTCCAACTGCCAAGCCCAAGGGATCTTTTACGTTTACGCCAATATATAGATGGGACCTCTCGGTTTTTCGTCTCATCCAAATGACTAGACAGCTTTCTATCCTGTACCACTGACAAGGGAAAACCACGTCGGATACCTGCAGATAGAGAACAATGATTTAACAACTTGGCTTTTTATTGGCTAATTCTGCATCCATTTTATATCATGTGTGCAATGCTCATGTGGAAATCTGTTTAATGTTTTCATTGGTACAGGAAGTGACAGCCAATTCAAGGTTAATGTGTTACCAGTGAAACCCGTCAACACTGCTTCACAGTTCTAGTTTTAATTTGAATATGTTGTTGTAACATTATTTTATCTCTTCCTTGTGTATTCTTGGATTATAGTAATACACCATTATAACATTCGTGGTAATCCGATATACATACAGATTATTCCAGCTCAACTCACAATTCCACAATTCTTTACAATTAATCTAATGTAAAGCCTTTAGCACTTTTTACTGTAAAGATGGCTTTACGGGAATTCAAAATACACCTATAGAAGCTATATGTATGACCTGTATTCAGTCATTCAGACCAGTTTTAATGTGCTGGCTTAAAAACTTTTCAAGCTTAAAATTGATAACGAACTTCCAGAGCAACCACAAGATTTATGAAAGATAGCTACGCAAAGTGAGGAATACACCCACACAGCAACTTTGTCTCAACTGTAGGTCATCAAAATGGAAACCATGGATGTTGGGAAAATTTGATAAAGAAGTTGGATCCTTAAAGAAATCTAAGCTCTTGGGTTCATACTCTTATGACTCCACTGCTTCCAACCAAATTTGAAAAAGATCCTACAGCCTCTATCGAGTTCATAAGGGTTATCAAAAGTCATAGAAAATCAATGGTAGGCCTATTATTCATCATGAAAATAAACATTTCATAAGCTTACAATTAATTTTTCAAAGTGATCAAGATCAATAACTCTGAAATGAAATGGGGTTGAACGTCCTACCGTTCTGCTCCTAACTGGGCTAATGAAGACGGGCATATGCCATACAATGTGCTATGAGGGACATTTTGCCTGGACAGCGCCAATTCGGCCTACTCTTATATTGAATTCCAACTGTCAAGGGATCTTTTACGTGCACGCCAATGTGTACACAGGACCTCGGGGCGATAAACCCGATTTCATTTCATTTTATTCTATTTATTTGTATGAAATATATCAATACCCAAAATTAAGTAGAATTTCTTTCATTATCCATATATATTTATATATACAGGCTGAAATCTTTGACATAAAAAGGGGGTTGGATGGCTGAATGGTTAGCGTGCGCGCGCTGTATCATAAAGTCTGTCATTGAATCGACTGGCGTGGTTTCGAATCCCCGGTTGTACGTGGCAAGGAGTAGGGTCGCCTGTCCAACCTTGTGGGTTTTCTCCGCGGCCTCCGGTTTCCTCCCACTGCTAAAGACCCCTACGCGCAAGCGAATTATGTAAATAAAATTAAAACCATATGTTAGTCCCGAAATGACCTAGTTTGTGTCGAGTGGAAGTGGACGTTAAACCACATTTCTCTCTCTCTCTCTCTTTTGACATAAAAAAAAAAGAGTATGACATTCTATATATGGTTATTCAATGTAGGGAAAAAATAAATCAAAGGTTGTTTGAACCCATTTATAACAATAACAAGTGTGTCAAATTTCACTGGCTTCAAGTCCACATCAGACTATTTCATTTGACATCAAATACCTGATCTGTCAATATACGAAGCCAACGTTCTACAGATCTATTTAAACAATATTTTATTCAAGGGTTACGAAACAAGTCAATGACCTATATTTTTTCATCCATTTCTTGCCCAACACTAGAACAGTACAGGAACTGTATTGGAGAAAACAATTAAAATTGATAGAGATTCTTTTTATAGCAAGATTATCTACACTCAAAAACTTGGTTTAGAATTGTACGAAAATAAATGAAATGAAATGAAATGGGGTTTAACGTCCTACTCCTAAACTGGGCTAATGTAGACGGGCATACGCCATACAGTGTGCTATGAGGTAAATTTTGCCTGGGCAGCGGCACTACGGCCTACTCTTATATCGAATTCCAACTGCCAAGGGATCTTTTACATGCACGCCAATGTGTACATGGGACCTCGGTTTTCGTCCCATCTGAACAACTAGACAGCTGTCCTTCTCAGGCTCTCCCATCCAGTACCACTGACAAGAGAAAACCACGCTGGAAAATCTTGAACTTTCTCGGGTGAAAACAACAAGATATGAAAGTATTGACCCAGTGGTTAATAAATACTCTGTAGTATTCACAATTATAGTGTTTAGTTTATTACGGCTTATTTACCAGTCTATAACCTTTCTGATATAAATGTATAGAGGTTTGAAAATATGAATTATTTATACTTGAGGGAATATATTTCATTGATTTCAAGTCATCAAAAGACCATAGCTCAAAATGCCACAATAAAAACTTCATCTTTAACTGTGTTATATACATCAGTGTACTACCAACCCATATATCAAATAGCTTAAAGTTTAATCATACATTATGCAAGAGCTAAATCTGCCTATTGCACGTCTTTCTTTAGGCCTGAAATGTTATCTAAATTATTAATTAGACATTAATTAACTTATCCAGACCATAATCAACTCTCGATGGCATCACTAGCCTGCGATATTTATTGGTTCTGATTTTCTGCTCGACTCATTCATGATTTAATCATGAAATGGATAATCAAGACTATGTTTTTTTATTGTACCGACTTTAGTAATGATAATCGAGGCTAGGCTGAAAATTCAATCGCTAAAATCTCGGTTCAGAGTGGATCAAATTCAATGAAATTTTCAGCAAATTGCCTTTACATTATCTAGTTTTTAACTATTATAGTGAGAACTGTCATTTCTTTAACTAATCTCCCATAATGTAGCTTTAAGCTAAAATAATTCAGTAAAAGTAAATTTTCATTGATTTTAAGTGACAATGCGCTAAAATCTCAGTAAAACAAAATTTGATGAAACCTGAAAGTATATTAAATGTTTTTGCAAACAGCTGATATTGTCATATTGTCAATTAATTTGATATTGATGAATGTGAAGACTAATATCATAGCTCAGTTAGAGCACCAATAAACATCAGTCAATAACCCAGTCATTCATGTAATGAAAATATCAAAATTTCTGATCGCCATATAATGTAATGTATATATTGTAATGAATGTTGTGAATCAAAAAAACAAGCAGTTGCCATGCAAGATAAGCCCACATTTTGCAACAGATGGACAGAAGACCAGCTAAAAAAAAAATTGATTTTTCGTACAATCAGGGGAAATAATCCAGGAAGTTATGGTCTCAAAGGGACAGATCTTTGGGATATTTTAACATTCATATTACATATTTTTGCACAATTTGTGTACAAGGAGCGTCCATTATGTCGGGCAGTTTCGTTACAATTGTCACGAAATTCAAACAGTTTTTAAAATTGGATAAAAATTGTTAACTCTAGAGGATCCACGCGCTAAAAAACATGATTTTTCGTACAATCAGGGAGTTATGGTCTGATATGTGTGAATATCGAAAAGAACTAAGATCTTTGAGTTATAATCATACATTGCAAGTTTCATTAAAATCAGATAAAAAAATAGGACTAGGGCCCACAACCTAGGTATTACATATTTTTACACTAATTATATACCAGGAGTGGCCATTTTGTTCGGCAGTTTCAATCAGATTTTTATGAAATTCGAACTCAACCTTCATTGATGTATAACAGTGATATATTTTAACGGTTTTTAAAACAGAATATAATTTTTGACTTCTAGTGGGTTTCACAAGCTAAAAATGCGAATTTTCAAATAATCAGGGGCCATAATCCAGGAACTGAGATCTTTGTGATATAAATATAAATTTAAAGTTTCAGCAAAATCGAATCAAAATTGTGACGTCTACAGGAACGAAAAGCAAAAACCTGATTTTTCGTAACATCATAACAGAGAGAGAGAAAGAGAGAGAGACAGAAATGGGGTTTAACGTCCACTCGACACAAACTAGGTCATTTCGGGACTAACATATGGTTTTATTTTATTTACATACTTCACTTGCGCGTAGGGGTCTTTAGCAGTGGAAGGAAACCGGAGGACCCGGAGAAAACCCACGAGGTTGGACAGGCAACCCTACTCCTTATCACATACAACCGGGGATTCGAAACCATCATAACAGACATTAATGACCAATGTCTAGGAGGTCATATGGTACTGTATTATTTCTAAATTCTGTTTTTAATTTCAAATCTATATTTTAATATTCATTAATGCTTGGTTAGTCGTTAAGAGACAAACAGTAATTAATCTATCAGTCAAATTAAATAACGACAGGATAGCAATTATAAAGTGACAGATCTCTGTTATATGGTGGACAAAGTGGGAACAGTAAACAAAATTGTCTACTCTTGATTCCGGTACAAAGAGAGAGAGAAATGGGGTTTAACGTCCACTCGACACAAACTAGGTATTTCAGGACTAACATATGGTTTTTTAAATTTTTTATTTCAACAAGCCAACAGTGAGGCTGATGTCCCCCGCCGAAATCCCAAAATAAATAGATGACGCATATTAATTAATCTTACATTTACTTTTATCAAAAGCATCAGCCAATCAAACTATACACTAAGTTTCATCACTTTCTATCAGATAGAATCAAGATTATATTGTCCCAAAGCAACGACAAATGAAATTAATTAGCTCTGCTTCGCTTTAGCTCGAAATGTTAATCATTCAAATTGCAATCAAATTGCTTATCGCTCCTTAGCCTCAGCAGAAAATTTGCACCAT